AGGCGTAAGATTATATTTGAACGGCCCCTATGCGCTGTGCACAGCAGCAGCTATATTCCGTTATAACCGACTCGCGTGTTTGTCTGATTGCGCTATAGCAGTATTTTATTGACAAAGAAGGTAAAGAAGGGGGAAAATGGGGTTTTAGAAAAGTGTCTTTATAACAGACTTCTCGTTATTTCAGGATTCGTTATAAGTGGACTCCACTGTACAAAAGATGCACCTTTTCAGTTTCAACCGACTTTCAAGCTAAGGATAACTCAACTTTGGTGGCCAATTTCCTTCTAATTTTACCTCTGAAACCAGGCAACTCCCACTTTTTCAATCGCCAATATCTTGTCTTGTATCCAAGATAAATGGATATTTAAAAAATTCGAAAGCAAGGCAAATAAACATCATTCTCTTCTCAGGTACAAAGCGGGGCTGATCTCAGACTTTAGACTGCCGGAGGGCTAATTCAAAAGGGTTTTTGTTTTCTTTTGAAAAAGAGGGATGGGTTGTGTAAGAAGGGTTTTTTCCGTTGTTTTGATGTTTTTTTTGGTAAGCTTTCTTTTTGTTGCTGATTCTGTGCAAGGGCTTGTAAAATAAATGAAACATTATGTAAGTAAGATGATGAAGACCGAGTGCCATGGTAAAACAAACACACAGGTCGCCACCACTCGGAGAACGAGCGATGCAAGTTCATGTCAGCGTCTATTTCAACATTACGTTGTTACTGATTTGGTAAACAAAACAGTGACCGGTCACCTCACACACAATTTGTGCATGAGTTGTCAGCGGAGCTTGTAAAGGTTATGACGGATCACACTTCCCTCACCAGCTGTTGAAAATGTATTGGGAATCACACACTACACGCTCTCCTCTTCTTTTACTTTTTGGCCTAGCCTAGGCCTAGGGCTATGGTCTATATGCTCTCATATACTGAGCCTTTAAGCTACGCACGGCACATCACTTTTGGAGTGGCTCACGTATCGTGTCTCTCTGCACCAGCTCTCTGCCGCCTGCCCCACCTCACTCATCACTGGACTGGCCAATCTCAACGCTGCACCGCTAACTGCCTGTTTGGAGCCCGCTTTCAGCCCCCCCTCCCCCCATCCCCCCAGATAGAGCTTTCTCGATCTCTCCCACTGTATCCGAGTTCGGGCCTTTCTTTGCCACGCTAAATCCGAGCACAGGTAATTGAGTTTATATAGAGAAAAAAAGGAGGATTCCGGTAAGGTCCCGCTGTAGGGATGGTCCCACTGTAGCGGGTGCCGCTGCTGGCGTGTTCTACTGTACACACACACACACACACACACACACACACACACACACACACACACACACACTTCCCCCCCCCCCCCCCCCCAAAGCAGTCGATGATGAAACCAACCTCACATCCCCTAGTGACATAACCCGTCATGCTCTAAGCGGCAAAGCGGGCCCACCACGGCGCAGACAAGTACAATATCTTGGTAGCACTTTGAGAATTTTTGGCCTTACGGTACGGAATTGGCGTGTATAGCAAAATATGATACCTTGCTAGCAATTGCGTGCATATAGCAAAAAAAATATATTGGTGCACAGTATTGCGTGCTTATAGCAAAAAATTAATTGGTGCTGGCAACTGCGTTCGTGTATAGCAAAAAATGTGTTGGCACACTCAGTTGCGTGCGTATAGACACTCCCTCCTGAAATACCCGGATTGGTCTAACCCCCCCTCCCCCCTGATTGGTCTAAAGCCCGATAATTGCTACGCACTTAGATTCTAGGCTTAGTGTGTCGATAGGGATGTTAAACCAAATACGCTTTATTTTTTCTGACAAGACAGGACAGACTGCAACAGCAACGGTTGAAGTGCTTCCATTGCTTTACTTTTCTAATCCTAGCCTTGACATTGACGTAAAGACTGCTCCTGCCACCAATATGATACTTCCCATCTTCTTTTGTTGCCTAGAGGTTAAGGTGTTTGCCGCCTCTCATTCAATAGGTCCCGGGTTTGAATCCGGATAGCGGCAGGAAATGTTTTTCCTATGAAATCTTCCCCTTTCACATCCTTTCCTGCTCTATAACACTGTTCTGTCGTCTGCTTTCGTCTTCTCTTTCTGCCCCACCCCCTTTGCCCCCTCCTCTGGACTATTGGTTCTTTCTGCAGCTTTTCTAATGCTACTCTTTGGCTCCTTACTGCTGTCTTTTCAGCCACACCCCTGATCTTCTGGTAGGAAAGATCTACCCCTAGTCTTCTCGAACTAAGGTGAAAAATCTCGGAGGTCCCGTTTGCAAGTTGCGCATGTTATAGATCCCTTGATGGTCCCGAAATCGATAAGAGTACTCTTTGGCCGCCACCGGGGCAAGATTCGAAATTTCTCACAAGTTTTGCAAGCAAATAATAATATGTGTCACGACATGGTGGAATCAGGCATGCATCAATTTTTGGGCACGTAGAGTTATTGGTATCATCTTAATTAAAGCTTGTTTATATATAAATTTGTGTCATGGCGTGGTGGAATCAGGCACTCGTTAATTTTTGGGCATGTGGAGTTGTTGGTATTGCCTTAAAGCTTGTTCATTTGCCTTTCTTTTGATGAAGGAATTACCCATTTATCCTGAGTACATGTTGAGATATTTGTGATTTAATGAGGTGGGGGTCGCCTGGTTTCAGAGGTAAAATTAGTGTTAAAACGGTCGCCAAAGTTGGGTTATTCACAAAGCCTTAAAGTTACTAGTTAGTGGAAAATGACAATTCACATTTTTTGTGCCTTTAATCAACGTTTTCCAATATAATACGCACTGAAATGGGTTTTTTAATAAATATAGGTGTTACGCGTAAAAGCAAAATTTCAATAAAAATCACCGAACCAGTGGGAAAAAGTCAGTTTCTTTGCTTAATTATTCTGATGAGCGCCTGATTTCACCATGCTGCCTCACATTTGTCTTGCTTCTGATAAAAAACGTTTGTATCTATCTTAAAGTTTAACAAAAGTCGAGATGTTTGCAAATGAAGGTGGAGGGATCGCATGTTGTCAAGTGAGAGAGAATATATGGCGACCACAGTTTGGTGACTTCCAACCAAAGCTTGAGTGTCCTTGGGTTTATCTTGGATACTGCAAAATAGAATCTATTACTACTATTACTTACAAGTGTTTTTCCACCTTCGTCAGGTTCTTATTCTTTGCTGAAACTTCTTGAAGACGATGAACCAAGTGGTTTTTTTGGTGGCTGCTCTGACAGCCTTCCTGCTAGGAATGGGTAAGTTGAGCAGATTATATATTGAGTCTGTTGCGCTATGAAACAGACAATATTTATGTGCTTAAACCTTGATCGACCGCATGATTACAGAGCGGTTAGTTAAATGACCTGACCACTTGTTCTTGAAATTACCAGTCAAACCGTGCAGGTAATCATTTTTCACAATAAATACTATTCCGAAAATGTACAAATGGGACCTCATGGAAGGCCTTATATAGTCTACAGTTGAATGTGCTCTTACAGCCATTTGCCCAAGGCAATCATCTGTATAAATGACCCCTTCCCACCTCCCGCATCCCCTTTTAAAAATGACATTATAATGGCACTGTGCAAGATGACTACTTTCTACTTGTCTCCCTGAGTGAGGACAGGTGGTCATCGTGGACAGGTTTGACTGTATTTTCAGACATATAGATAAAGCATTTTCATATTTTGTTTCTTGTACATTTGATCAGAATAATTTTTAAGCTTTTTTCCAAATCAGACTGAACCTACCTATTACTTGTATGTATTTAGAGCACTTTGATGGTGGGAGCATTAGCGCTAATCTGCCCTTGATTTGAATTGTTTTTGTGCAGCTGGAAAGGTGATATTGAGCTCTCCTAACCATTGTGCACACTTCCTCTGACTATGAATACATGTTTTTTGCCCTTCTAGTCTCTTTTTGCCCACTGCCTGTTGTTGATCTGTTTCTAATGTAATGTTATATTGTGATACACCGTGCAGTGCTGTGAGAAAAGCAGAGGTAGGAGATTGTTAGATAGTTTGGAGTTATAAATAAGCCAATTTTTTTGGGTACATCTTTGCAGTTTTTAAATGGAATTCCTTCGGTTCAAAATGAAAAGGTTGTTAAAGGGGGTAATTTATTGTTATTTGTGTGTTGAATCAAGTCCTGCTTCCATCCACTGTCTGCTGTATCTTTCAGTAGTCTTTCCTTCTGTTATTGGGCAGCCTTTTTTTTTTCTGGAGGGAGTTACGAGATTTTGGTAATTTACGGAGTTTTCAGCGAGCCACATTGAGTTGGACCTATCAGAGACGGATATCGTAGTCAGCTCCCCTCCCCCCCCCTCCCTCTCTTAAATTAGCGTAAAGGGTTGAAAAGAACTTTGAACTCATCCTTTATGCCAGAATTTTCCCATTTCTAAAGGGTTATTACACGGTAGTCTGTTTTCTTTTTTTCTTTTTACTCAAAAGTCAGGGCCCAGATACTGCTTACCCTTTTACTTGCTGGATTGGGGAGGCAACTGGGACCTTAAAAAAAGAGAATTATCTTTATGGTGGTGGACGATAAATGCGAAAATGGGATTGTAGCTGTCTCGTATTTTGTAAACAACCCCCTTATCATGAAAAGATAAGAGTTTAATCACCCTCTTATAGGAAGTTTATGTGGCAGATGTGCACACAAATCCTAAGAGATGAACACACTGACAACAGGAGTTGGCTTTTATGTCCTTGACAGGTGTCTGTGATGTAGTGATAAGGCACTTTGCCTATTATGCAGTCGGGAGATTTGATTCCCGAGCGGGAAGGATTTTTAATTATCTCAATCTTTCTCCGGGGATATTGTATCCCTCTCAGTTCAGATTGGCACTAATAGGCAGGGTAGAAGCCCTCCTCCTAAATGATCTAATAATTGTGTTAATGGGGAATCAACAACACTTACAACTGAAAAAAAAAATTTTCATGCTCTCGTCAGTAGGGTTTCTGTTTTACTTTTGTCTTTTCTCGAACTTGATCAAGGAGCCATTTAACAGTGCCCCCCTGTGTGTTTTGGAGAAGTAAATAGACACTCCATTTTTAGTAAGAGTTTTACGGCACTCGGAACACAAACAGGTCATATAAATCCACAAGATTAGAGATGTTGCGAGAGATTAACATACAAAGAAAATAAGGAGGAGAGATAAAAGAAATAAATGTTTGATAGGAACGAAGGAGCAAACCGCATCAGAACACCCATCAACCACCCAATCACATTGTAAACCAGAAAGAGGTGCACTATCCACCCTGGTGGAGGAAAAGCGGACAAGGAAAGTTGGTGCTCAGACATATATATATTTATACCTTTCTTCATGTGGGTGGTTGGCCGGTGCCCTGATGTGGTTTGATTTTTCTTTTCTATCCAGCATCTTTCGTCCCTACCTCTCCTATTTCTTTTCTATGTTTGTTACTTTATAGTAACACCTCTAATCTTTTGCACTCATATTATCTATTTGTGTTGCAAGTGCCTCTTTCTAAAACTAAAACCTTTTCTTCGTTTTTCTGTACTGTAGCCATTGAACCTACTTTCCTGTCTTTGTATTTCCCTGTTTGTATCGTGCAGGGTGCTCTGTCCTTTGTGCTTGTAAATATAAGAATTATTTTACTGACTTAGCTTTTGATCGTAACAAAACCTTTTCCCCCCTCTCGAATCGTTGTCTGAATTTTATAATTTGTGTTTCAGTGCACGCAGACTGTCCTCATCAAAGCTTCAACGAAACAGACAGTGTCCAGCTACCTAAAAATGCTACAGCCGGTGATACATGTGTCTTCACAATCACCAGACCAAGTTCAGACCCCGCCAAGTTTACAACCTTTGTTCTTAAAGATGTGATCATGACGATGGGCACGAATGATTCCTTTGTCATCTATGATGGTCCAAAAGAGGAGAAGAACAAACTTCTGACCATCAAGGATCAAATTGGTATGTAGTGCTGTACGGTTTTGAGGAAGTGAAATTTCATCGACTCTTTGCTGCATGAAGCATGGGTCTCAACATTCCGCTATTTAGCGGATTTCCGCTGCCGCCATGTCCTCCGCTAAACTTGGGTACTTCTCATGTGCCACCACTTTCTGAACATAGTCAAGATTGTAAATGTTTGGTAAGTGACTCTTTTACTTGAAATCATCTTTCAAACCCTCAAATTGGTATTAAATAACCTTGCTTTGATAAATTGATGGTTTTTATTTCTGCATTCTAGGGTTAAACAGTGTAGTAATAATGGGTGTTTCGCGAAAATGGTCTGCTGTCGCGATCACACGGAAAGTTTCTCCTTTTTTTAGAATTCTGAGGTTAGACCCATGATGAAGTCACTCACTGTTCATGCTTTTTTAATTTTGTGTGTGAATGATATTTTTTCCCTTACCTAGATGTCCATCAACAATATTCTCTGTTCAATATTCACCACTCACAATGCTATTTATCCATGACTATTTGCCAAAACCATTGATCCTCAACACTCTGTGTGCCTGCCTTTCACTTGCTGTGGCTTTAGTTTAAGTTGTGCCTAGGGAAGTGCAAAAGGGGAGGTACTGGTGATTGACTTTGGTATAATATTTAGTTGTTTCCCCCTAATCCACCTGACATCATCCTTCACTTAATCATATAAAAAAGAGTCCTCTGAGCCTCGAGCAGAGATTACTGCGGTGGGTTAAAGAAAGCAGCCTCTGTTTGTCATGTATGAAGAGGTTATGGTGTGGTGTAGAGCTCTTTCCAGTGCACTCATAAATAAGAATGTGAGTGTGATTTCCAAGTTAGGAAGATATTTCAAGGAGTGTATCAGTGTTCCATCTGGGGAGTAGTTTCTTACACTGCTGGGATTTGCCCTGACAGAGAGGGTCGAAACAGGCTGCCTCCTTTCTCGATAAACCTATATACTATGTCCGTAGTGGGGTCAGTGGCCTTGTGGTCAGGCTATCAGACTCGTAACCGTAAGGTCATGGGTTCGAATCCTCTCAGGGGCCGGACGTGTCCTTGGGAAAGGCTCTTTACACAAATTTTCCTCACTTGCAAGGGTGGGAATTGGTACCTAGCTATAAACAGTGAAAGATCTTGCCAGTTTATTAGTGTATGAGCGCGCTTAACTCGTTCGCTACGTATTATTTTCGGCTTGTGGACGAATTTTTTTTCGGGAGGGCGAATGAGATGATGACTAGTGGGCAGTTAAAAGGTCTTTGGGGCCACAAATTCAAATAAATATCAACATATTATATACCAATATTTTCAGTATGGTTTGTAGAATACATCTGTAATGTTCATTTATGTATTTTTCAACTTTGGTTCCTGTAAGAGACGATTATGCAACACAATTTTGATTGGATGCGGATAAAATTTGAAAATAAAAAATAAAAAAATCTTTGGTGAAACTCAAAAAATATGTTTGCACCTAGTCAAATGATACATCAAAATAGCCATAAATGAATATAGAACTGGAAAAACATTGAAAAGTTTGCAGTTATTTACCTACATTCCATAATATTTGTACAATTTGAACATAACATCCGATATTGAAAAAAAAAAATTATAATCTTGAAAAAACGATCACAAACAGAAAAAAACCCACTCGTATCTTATATGGAATTATTCGGAATTGCATTCGGAATTGCATTTGGAATAAACCTATACATGTCTTGAGTGGCACTTTTTGTGTAATTTCATCAAAAAGTGGTGATTTTGGGGAGAAAAAAAATATTTTGACAATTTAGATCTAGACCTAGATCTAGCACTCAAAAATATTGATTTCTCAATAACATTGCATTGGCAATATGAGCCCAATCGTATCAATATTATAAAAAAGAGTCCTACATTTCTTTAGTAGGCAAAATAATGATAGACTTTGTTGTGTAAAATTACTAAGACTGGTGTCCGGGCTATAAAACAAAGTCGAAAAAACTACGAAATCGCGTTTCAAAACTGAATCTAAATTTCCGATTTTCAGTGGAAATGCTGGACCTGGAAGTCAACATTATATTATGACCTTTATTTTAACATGGATATATGTGGATTGGAATGGAAACCAAGCTAAAATTGAAGATCGGTTCTCGAGCCGCCGGGGGCGGCTTAGCGTACTGACGGCACTTTAGCCACGCCGCCCCCCACAGCTCGGCGTAGCGAGTGAGTTAATCAGCTGCTAGCCTTGTATTCTTCCTGGGAAACTGAGAATGTTTCTGAGTGTTCTGTGGTCTGTTAGGGTAACAGTATAGTGTTTGTTGTCGAGTGGTGGGTATATGCGCTATACAAATGCTATTTATTATTATTATTATGATTAATAGGGGTGTAAAACATTTATAACTAACTGTAATGAACCTCTTTTGTCTTTTTAGAAAAACTTTTTTCTCCGTTTTATTCTCAGTGCTCTCCCAAGTTGCTGTGACCTTCAGTACTGTGATGACTATAGAGTTCTATGTTGGAGAGAATGACACCAAGTCGTCAGGATCCTTTGACTTTACTTTTGGAAGTAGGTTATTGCGTGATTGTGGTCTCAATTGAGCATATTCTGCTTACCCTTAATACCCGTTGAACTCGTAAATATTTTCTGTGCATGGTAGAAGGGTGGCACTTGTAAGTCTACATTGTTGCTGTCCCTTTGTTAACTCTTTGAATAATTTTTTGTTTTAAAGAACTGTTCAAGATTTTTTTCATTTGAAATTAAATGTTTATTTACTAACTTATTGGCCAAGGGAATTAAAAGTTTGCTCCGACTGCGCCTAGCCTGCCCTTTTTGTGAGTAGATGGTGGGTGTGGTTTGCTCCTACTTCCCTGTCCTACATCTGTTTAGACAGCTTCTTCATGAGTAAACGAGTGTAATTATGATAAAAATGCAAATTTTCTTTCAGCATGAAAATCTCTGCTGTATGGTGTAATGATGATAAGTTCCTAAAGTCAGGCATAAATGTGTCAAGACACAGCAAAATCAGGCACTCATCAAGTTTTGGGTATTTGGAGTTATTGGTATCCTTATAAAGGCTTTTTACACAAATTTTCCTCACTTGCAAGGGTGGGAATTGGTACCTAGCTATAAACAGTGAAAGATCTTGCCAGTTTATTAGTGAGTGTATGAGCCCTTAATCAGCTGCTAGCCTTGTATTCTTCCTTGGAAACTTTAAAAAGAGATAAAAGATGTAGATCCAAAAAAAGAAAATTTGAAAACTACCATAAGGGTGCAGATGAAGGAGCCAGTTTACCAAACGATCGGTATTTTATTGCATTTGGCAAAAAAAAAGATACCCACCTATCTTGAGTAGAAATCAAGATAATTGCCATTGAAGGAGGTGGGGGGGTCTCCTGGTCTGAGAGGTAAAATTAGAGAGTAAATGGCTGCCAAAGTATGTTGACTCCCAAACCTTGAATGTCCTTAAAAACTGGAAATTTACAATTTTTTTGGCCTTTAATCAACGTTTTTCTGCAACATCCACACAGAAATGTGTTTTTAAAAAGAGATAAAAGATGTAGAGCCAAAAAAAGAAAATTTGAAAACTACCATAAGGGTTCAGGTGAAGGAGCCAGTTTCCCAAACAATCGGTATTTTATTGATCAGGGAGTGAGACATTTACAGTCTATCACCCTTTGTTTGCTATAAGGTATCTATTTATTTGTCCTTTCATCTATTATCTATGTCCCAAAGGGCGTTAAATTCATAGATAGACATTTTTAAAATGTCTTTTGTCCACCTCCTTTCCTTGGGTAAAAGATAGAAATATTTTTTGTCTTCACAAAGAAAAATTTGCTTCATGGAAAATACCAGCACGCGCTCGTCAACTCAGTCACACACACACACAATCACACAGATAGTAGCTTTTTATCCTCATTGTTTGTACCAGTAGTACTGTATATGTAAGTACCAACTACTCCACGTTCGAAATTATCAGACTTGTGTTTATGGGAATGATATACATTTGCAACCGTTGGTGGTTGACGGGTGCTTTGGTGCGGTTTGCTTCTTCCCCTTCAAACATCTAATATCTATCTTCCTTACCACTGCTCTTTCTTCTCTTTGCATGTTACTCTTTAGTTAGTAACACAGGTCATCTTTGGCACTTGTATGACCTGTTTGTGTTGCAATTTCGTTCAAACACTTATTAAACTAAAACTTAACTTTTGCAACCATTCTTATCAGCTACCTGATTTATGAAGGCGTAATTTTGGTTTCTTATGGGTTTTTTTGGTTTGTTTTTCTTTACCCTTGTTTCCAGCTTGCCAACAGAATCTCACAGACAGCTGGGTCCTGCCTGTGACATCCCCGCTGTACCTGAAGAACCAAGGGAGCTTCATGTGTACCTACAATGTGGCCAACGCTCTGCCGGCCGACCGCCGGGCTGTGGTCAGCTTCTCTCAGTACTCGCTGAAGGGCGAGAGTTACCTGGCGTTGACCTCGGGCTCTGAAAAGGTCAACTTCACAAGTGAGTTGTTTTTGTTGCTGTGTTAGTTGTTTTTGTTGCTGTGTTAGTTTTTGTTGCTGTTGTTGCTAATTTTTTGTTTGGGATCGTGCCAGGCATACTTGACTGGCAGCCTCCACAGCAGTTTGCATGGCATTGGCCATTGGCCATATTTAATTGGCAGTGTTGATCATTTTTGTCAAGTTGGTCTGTGGGTGGTTGGTGGGTGCTGTGGTGTGGTTTGCTCCTTCTTTCCTATCAAACGTCTATCGTCCTTATCTCTCCTTCTTTTTGTGTTTCTATGTTACTCACTAGATACACCTCTGATCTTTGGAACTGATATGACTTAGTGGGTGGTTGGTGGGTGCTCTTTTGTGGTTTGCTTCTTCTTAACTATCAAACATCTATCATCTCTATCTCTCCTCCTTCGTTTTTGTTTTTGTAACTCATTGGTAACATGTATCATCTTCAGCACTTATATGACCTAATTGTTTGCAAGTTCTGTAAAACACTTGCTAAAACAAAAACTCATATGGCTTCTTTGTGTTTCAAGTGCCTTAAAGCTCTTACTTAAACTAAACTCATCTAACTGAACAAGTTTGTCTTGTACAAATAAAATAAAAGCGGGCAGGTTTTACTAATGAAAACACCTCAGAATACGAGAGGGAGTCAAAAAATATTGCAAGTTGTTAGCTATTTGACACAATTTAGCTCCAGGTTTTATGCCATTCAGCTCACAAATACTTGCGCATGTACTTTTGAACAAAAACTGTATGTTGAAATACCATTTTCTCCAATATTTGCATGAATGATGTCTCGTTAAAATAGCTGCCCCTTCATAGGTCGGTCAGAGGCGAAGACCTGTGGTTGAATTTCTTGTTTTAGTAGGAGAAACAGGCAGTAACATCCGTAAGCGACTTCAACATGTTTACAAGGACCAAGTTCTAAATTTCAGCATTATATATTAGGTGGTTCAGATGTTTGAGCAATAGAATAGAAGAAGAAGAAGAGGTGTGGTCTGTGGGCTTGTGTGACAAGCATCGACTCGATCACCCTGCAAGCCCTGTGAACACCATCAACAAGGCAAAAACAGAAGAATTTATAAGGGCTGACTGGCAAACTTCACGTGATGAACTAGCTACTGGAAGCCTAAATTAAAACTCTGAAAGGACAGAAAGCGAGTATTTGAAGAGTCAGGTCACGTATGAGCATGGAATGATTTTTGGTCATGATAACGCCTGCCCGCAAACGAATGTTTGAACAAGGGAGGCAATCACCTGGTTGTGGATGGATAACACTACCACACCCAGCTTATTCTCCTGATTTGGCTCTTACAGATTTTCACTGTTTTGGTCCAATGAAAGAAGCATTTAGAAGTAAACACTGGAAACAATGAAAAAAAATCAAGCCTGCTGTAAAAAATTGGCTCAAAGACCGACCCGCACAGTTCTACGAATCTGTTATAATTGGTTTTTATTAAAAAGTAGACAGTGGCTATATGAAAGAGATGGAGACTATGTTGAGAAATAGAAATGTGATCCTCAGATGCACCCCTTTGATAGTTGCAACTGCTTTCTTGTTTCTTTAAGTTATAAACAGACTTGCATTCCTTTTTGACTTCCCCTCGTACTGTGTCCTGCGATACAAATCAGGATTGGGAGAGCAGTCTCAATTAATTAATCTAGCAGATTGTTGGCTGTTAGTCACTGGAGGGCACCATTGGTATCACCTAATTCATTGCTATCTGTTTCTCAGATGTTTCTGTTTGTGGGTCTTTCTTTTCACTTGCATAAAAATGACGTTAGGTGATGATGTCCATCTCACGGCGCACCGGCAGTGGAATTTTAGTTGCCGCGGGGGGTTCCCCACCAGGGGCCTTATCACGTCGGGGTCACGAGGGTCAGCTCCCTGTCGCCGCTCTGTCTGGGCAGACTTAATTTTTGGTACTTTTCAACGTACAATTTAAGGTGTATCCTTGTATTTATGTAATTCTCATTTAGTGCACCCAAAGCACGCATCTCTGCTCTTGAGACTCAAAAAAGAACGGACGTTGTAACTTGTCTGGTTATTTCGTTAGACGCGCTGGAGTCGGCAATGCTAAATTGTAATTTTTTTTTGATTAGCATGGATGAAAAAAAATCAATATAACAAAAAGGCCTCGTCAAAATCTGTCGAACTTTTGGAACATGAACGACATAGCATTGGTGCAGATACTCAGAAAAGATGGTATCTGCGCATATAATAGAAGGCTGTAATTTTGCAATTTTATCCATCGGGCACACAATTCGCTATGAAGTAATTTCTCCAAATACAACTATATGTGTCTAATATAATCGTGAATATTCGCATATTTTCTCGAAAGTTTATAAAATTTACCATTTCTCTATGAAAAGCACAAATCGATTTTAGTGCTAGAATACATCTTCAACGTAGATCTAATACACGAACAGTATCTGTTACACTCCAGAAATTCCTTACTTTTCTTAAAACGCTAAGTCTAGGTTTCGTAAGTTGACTGAATAATAGGGATGACTTCTCATAATTGGGTTATAAGAATAATTTCTAGCTTTCCAGGGACACTGAATCAGCACCAGATTTTTCTAGCTTTTTTTCCGTTTCTATGACCATTTGTAATAACTGACAATGTGACTGATTTCTTTACATTCATAATTGTGACCGCGCATATTTCCTACACAAAAACTAAGACAAAAACTAAGAATGAATGTTTTAGCTGTCATTATTTTTATTCCATACAAGAAGTTTATCTCTATTCATGTATTTACACGGTTTTGTGGGGTTTTTAATCGCTTATATTATATCTTTTTAGTTGTATGCAGGCTGCCACAGACACAGCATGATTAATGAACAAACGCAGAGTAACTTTCTCTTGTTTGATAGTAAAATAAGAGCTAACGCTGATCGTCTTTAGTTAAAAAATGCAGATGTGCATCTTTCTTCTCTTATAACTTGACTATTACTACTCGCAGAGATTTAAGATTTCTTATGGTAAAAGACATGATATTCGTAGTCAGTTTAACACAGATTTTGGAGAGATTTGGTCAGCCTTTTTAAAATTAACAATCATTTATTCATAAGTTTGTAACTAAAATAGGACAAATTGGGTACTTTAATAACACTTGTCTAGAACAAAAACTAAGGCACAGAAATTAACCATTCTAACGCAGAATAAATCTCAAGACATTGAGCTTTTAGTACATCCGCGTAATGGTTTGCTATGTCGGATGGGGAAGAAGTTATATCGTTTTAAACATAGTCAAAAATGCGAACTTCCTGACCGACACCAGCAAAGTCGCTTCAGGGCTCATTAACCCCGTGACCCCGAGCCGGGGAGCTCCGGCGGGCTGCTGAGTCACGCTAACTAAAAGTAACAGAATCGGGCGAAATGTGACGCCGTGATCTCTTTTAACTCGCTTGTGTTTTCTATCATAAGCTACATTTGAACACGATTTTGCTTTCCGTCTGATGCCATCTTTTCCTCTTCAAGCACAGCTGTGTGGGTACATGTGCACATGCTAAAACACTCCGACACATGGGCTGACATACTTTTGACTGTGCATGTGGTCACACACACACACACACACATACACACACACACACGCACACACACACACACACACACTCACGCACACACACACACACACTCACGCACACACATGCACACACAAACACTCACAAGCAGACAAGCACGCTTGATCCGCCATTTCATAAGAAAAAAAACCCAGCGAAAGCTATAGATAGTAATGTGCATGCAGGGACAAAAGAAGCCCGTTGTATTCTTCATTGTGACAGCAAAGTATACAAAAGATATTAAGTTAATTACACAGAAAAATAGATGTCATCGAAAGACAATGAGTTTGTGAAAGACTCGAACAATGGCATGGATAAAATGAAACTAATAAATATGATTGTGTTTGTGATTGTCATGGTCAGTTGAGTTAGCAGTACAAATACAGCTTTCTATTCTGTGGGTGGTTGACGGGTGCTCTGGTGTGGTTTGTTCCTTCTTTCCTATCAAACGTCTATTGTCTTTATCTCTCCTATTTCTTTTTTTTTTTTTTGGGGGGGGGGGGGAGGTCTTTGTTACTCTCTTGTAACACCTCTAATATTTGGCTCTTATCTGATCTTATTGTGTTGTAAGTCAAGTTCCTTTAAACTCTTACTAAAACTATAAAAAAAGGTTTTCTGCCTTGCAGTGCCCTGATTTGTCTGATTTCCAATGTGACAGTCTCTTTCCCAGTTTTTATTTGTCAGTGGTCTTCTTTCTAATCCATTGTTTGTCTTTTTACCTATCAATCTATTTCCTTGTAAAAAATATATCTATTATCTTCTTTTCTGTCTCTCAGTTGCAGGTCGTCTTTTTAATAAGTCTGTTTGTCTCTTTACTTATCCATCTAGATTGCTTTCTTTTAAGTCTTATCTATGATCTATTTTTCAGTCTGTCTATTAGTGGTCTATTTCGTCTATTTCCTTGTAGAAATGTGGTGGTTGTCATGCAGAGTGGCAGTGCCTAACCCAATACCACAGGACGTTTCTTCCATATATTTTACTGAAGATGAGATCATATGAATGGACTCAAGCAAAGATATACAACTGAGACTAGCACAAAAATGCAAATCGACTCAAGCTAAGAAAAAAACATGTGTGAAATACAGATTGCTCAACTAAGAAGTAATGATTTGTTAAAGCTTAAACAAATAATTTTCCCTCACCCCTAAGAAAATGATAATGAGAGAAAGCAAAATGAACTTACAGCGAACATGCAATGTCATGGTTACCTTGAAGTGGAGAGGTGTCAAAATTTGTCATTAGTGCGACAATTTAGAGCAAAGAGAAAAAACCCAGTGTGTTATTGTGTTCAGGTTTTGTAGTTTACGGGGATACTTTGGGCGTGGGTGGTTGGTCGGTGCCCTGGTGTGGTCTGCTTCTTCTTTCCTATCAAACATCTATCGTCCTTATCTCCCCTTCTTCTTTCCTATCAAACATCTATCGTCCTTATCTCCCCTTCTTCTTTCCTATCAAACATCTATCGTCCTTATCTCCCCTTCTTCTTTCCTATCAAACATCTATCGTCCTTATCTCCCCTTCTTCTTTCCTATCAAACATCTATCGTCCTTATCTCCCCTTCTTCTTTCCTATCAAACGTCTATCGTCCTTATCTCCCCTTCTTCTTTCCTATCAAACGTCTATCGTCCTTATCTCCCCTTCTCCTTTTTTTCTGTTCGTTACTCTCTTGTAACACCGTTTATCTTCTGGCGCTCATATAACCTTATTCAGTTGCGAGCGCCGTAAAACTTCTACTAAAACTAAATAACTAATACTTTGGTCAAGGATATTTGGAGGGTGATGTTAGTAGATCCAACTTCTTTCCTCTGCCCCTTTTGATTTTCGTCTATTCGTCCTTGTCTTCCATAGCACTAAGACTGACTGTTTTAGTGTTTTCCTGTAGAGGGGTTTGACGCCCCATGGACACAATTTAGAACATTTTGGAGTAGGGCTTAAACATTGCCTGTCAGGGTCAACCAAAACTGAGAGGGATACAACGTCCCGGCAAAAAAAGAAAAATCTCCAGAGATACTCTATAATAATTCTCCGTTCACAGGAATCGAACTCTGGTCTTCTTAACAGAGCATTCTTGAATTCGTGTTCTTTGGGGATTTTTACGCCTGTCCTCCCACTTCCTTCAATCCTAATGTCAGGGATGAACGTTAATTGTGAAATCCGCTTTTGGCATTGTTCAGTATTAAAAGGGACGCCTGTTATTTCTGGTGTGGTTTGCTTCTTCTTTCATATTAACATCTATCACCCTTTCCTTCTTTACTTTGTATGTTACTCTCTTGTAACTCCTCTTGTCTTTGGCACTTATATGACCTGTATGTGCTGGAAGTTCAGCAAAAACTTAAACGAAGAAAACTAAGGGTTGGGCATTGGTTCAAAGATCTGCTTTCAGTATTGTTCAGTATTGAAAAGGACATTTACCCCATACGGCAATACTATTAATTTATAATCCAGGCACCAGGGAAGCTCATGTGGCTTTTTTTTTTTTTTTTGGTGTTCACTGAGAAGAGGTTTTGATCGGCTCTGTAATGTTTACCTTGTCTTGTCCCCTCTCAAGTATGACATCCGCTATGTTATGGTTTGCCCCTTCTGACCTATCAAACATTTATCGCCTTCATCTCTCCTCCTTTTTTGTGTTTGTTACTTACAGTCTTTGGCACTTATATAACCTAATTGTGGTGCAAATGCCGTAAAACTCTCACGAAAACAATAAACTAACCATCTATCTCCTGTCCTTTTCTTTATATGGTACTCTCTAGTAACATCTGTAATCTTCAGCACGGCTGTGACTTCATTGTTATGGAAGTGCCGTGTAAAACTCTTAATAGGCTAATTGAAAAAAAAAAAAAGAAGCCTCTTAAGTATCGGCTTTGACGTCATTGATATCGAGATCTCTGAAGTGCACTCTGGTGTGGCTGTGATCTCTGCGCTGCTCTAAGTTGTCACCCCGGCCTGGGTCGTAGAGGATTCCGTCAGAAATGGTCCGCACTCGTGCGCTCGGCCCAAACTTGGGCGGCACTAATAGATAGCGGTCAGTGATGTTTGGAGTGGTTGTTCCCAGTGGACTGCGGTCTGTTGGGGGCGCGGAGTGTATAGACTGGGGTCTGAAGGTGACCGGCTGCCCGTATACCGGCCCGTGGACAAAGTGGCCCAGGACGGGGCTGGGTGGGGCTGAGTTAACGGTCGGGTCAGATCCCCCCATTGCTTGGGTGTTGGTAAGAACATAGCCAGGCTGGGAGGAAATGTATGGAAGGCCATTTTGCAACTGGAGCGGAAGGTTACCGATGCTTGGAGCATTTTGCACAGGTTGTATGTTTTGTATGAGCATTTGTTGGCCGTTTTGATTTTGAACCAACTGGCCATTTTGAATTTGCCATTGGTGGTCATTTTGTAAGTGCACCGGTTGACCGTTTTGTAAGTGCGCCGGTTGACCGTTTTGTAAGTGTACCAGTTTGCCGTTTTGTAGGTGCAATGGTTGACCATTAAGCCCTTGGACGGGCTGGCTGTTGGTGTTGGTAGGTCCTGCAGTGATGTCGGGAATGGTGAGAAAGTGGACAACAGGCTGAGCCGAACGCGCCTCTTCCAGCTGTTTGCGCATGTCTCCGTCTGGCAGAGACTTGGACAGGGGCTCAGGGGGAGCGCTGTCTGTTTGTATCTTTTTGCTTCTGAGCTCACTGTTATGTCTTCTTCTAGTCTGACTTGGGGATTTTGTGACAGATCCGTTCTCTCTGCTAGTATTCTTTTCAACATTGCGCTCCTCTTCTCTTTCGTCTTTGATTGTTGTCAAGATATGAGTGTTGGGGCTTTCAGGGTTGTTCGGCTTTTGTAAGTTTGTTGACTTGAAAGGTAATGGATTATTCTGTTTGAGCAAATTGTTAATTTTGAGAAGACTGTGGAGGCGTTGGTACCGAAGTCTTGCCAATGTGTTTGTCTGTCTTATAGGACTGGCTGTTCGTTTGTATGGTGCCATTTGAGAAGTAAATGGTCCAGTGGTCCCCATTTGAGTGGCGAGTAGTCCGAAATTTTCCATTGGAGATGCGTGTTGCATGCTATGGTCATCGAACCCTAGAGTACTGATCATTTGAATTCTCTTGACAATAGCGTGGCCGTCGGAGTATTGTGTCTGAATTGAGGTGACAGATCGGAAATACCTCTGGTCTTCCACCTTCTTTTTCTTCTTGATGTCGTACCGCAAGACTTTTTTGGGCTCTCCTGGGCAGTGGCGGCAGCAAGAGGGGAGCAAACTCTCCAGTAGCAGGACGACAGACAGCGTCTGCAGTTCCCATTGGCTGTTTCGGTCTTCTGAGACGAGTGCGCATGTCTGTGACATCATGGCGATCAGTGAGTTAATGAGTAGGACGTAGGTGAACAGAACGAAGAGGACGAAGAGAGTGACTGCCATCCAGGGGTGGCGAGCGTCGTAGAGGATCTCTATATCCGTCAGTCCGAGCATGAGCTTGAACATAGTCATGACTGTGACGCCCAGGTTCCTAAAGCCGTCGGGAATGGGCAGTGAGTTCAGGTAGGTCACGTGCATGGCTACAGAGAAGGAGAGAAGCTCCAGCATGATGAGCAGCGAGAAGCGGAACATGTCGCCGAGAAGAACCTTCTGGAACATGACAGTGAAAAAGGAGAACTTTTTGTGCACTCTGAGGGCGAAGGTCATGAACCACCAGCCGAGTAGGAGAGCAAGGATGAGGAAGTAGTTGTTGTCGGGCGGCGCCGAGAGGAACCAGCAGCTGTCTGCGATGAGGCTGAGGGAGAAGAGGACCAGGGTCAGCCGGTACAGTCCGTTGTGGTGGATGAGGCGAAAGTGCCAGGCCTGGCGCATGTAGAAGGAGCGCACGGCCTCGAGAGCCAGATAGACGCCGCCGAAGCAGATAGAGAGCCAGGCCGTGGCCTGCACTAAGTTTTCCTCCTGGGCGCTGACGAGCGCCGGCGTGAGCTGCTGCGTCACGGATGTGGGGCCCGCCGTTGTGCTCACGCTGCTGTTAGTGGTGGTGGTTATGATGTTGTTGTCATTGTCATACACTTCAACGTTGATGACTTTGGTCTTGTACACGGCGTACGTGGTGAGGAGCGTCATGAGACAGAGATGCAGGAACATCCATAGGTAGAAGAAGGGCCGGTAGGCGGCCCACTTGGCTTTGATGGTGTCCCGGACCACGTCCACCCTGAGCAGCCCGAAGGCCTGCCGTACGCTGATTGTGCAGATGATCTCTAGCACGGCTTCACGTCTGTGCGGAGTTGTCCCCTCCCGCGCTTGGGAGGCACAGCATCCCACAGAGGGCTCTGCGTCGGGTGATGGTGTCTCCTCTTTACCGTCCATCACCTCCACCGATGAGGGCGTGGCGGGGGTAAGGTCGCCAGGTCCCCCTACAGGCGCCACCTGCCCGTTCTTTAGTTTCTTCTTCTCTGGCTTTCTGGGCCGAGTGTGTGCTGTCGTTGGGTGGGCTACCAGTCGCCCCCACTTGTGCTGGGCCACCGTGTCGATCTCCGTGATGTCACAGAGATGGATGTCGAAGACGCCATCGTGCTCGTCCAGCTGGCTGTACACTCCGTCGAGGGCGAAGATGGCGGCGAAAATATCCGCCTCGCCGAGCACGGCGGCGAGCTTGAGCGGCGTCTGCCCGGCATCGTTTTCAAGGAGCCATACTTCCAGCGGGTCGCGCTTCTTATCCTCTCCTGCGCGGCGCGACAGCCGCGACATGTCTCGCGAGAAGTTCCGCGGCGCCAGCGTGTCGTGCAGGCTTCTCAGCATTTCCAGAACGCTGGCGCGCTGGTCGCTGTGCACGCCGGCGTAGCGAACGAGAGAGTGGAGTACCGTGTCGCCCAGCGCGTTCTGCGCGTGCAGCTGCGCGCCGTAGTCGAGTAGGAGCGTGACCATATCCAGGTTGAGCGTGAGTGCGGCCACCGACAGTGGCAGCTGGCCCATCATGACGGTGTCGCGGAAACGCTCGCCCGTCGCGCACGCCTGGAACAGTTCCTCAAGTAGCGTGCCACCGCCGCTTCTGCGTAACTCGGAGGCGTGCGACAAAAGAAAGCTGGCGGCGTCTACGTTGTCCTTGCTGATCACTATGTGCAGCACTGTCTGGGAAGGCAAGAGAGGTTGTGGTACGGGTTAAATGCGATTTGCATGTTGTGGTTGTTGTTGTTGTTGTAGTAGTTTTTCTACAAGTTTAGCGCCATATCAAACACAAGTGGGGCTCAACGTTAGTGCAGTTGATCATGGACAAAAGTGCACATCACCCTTTTGGGAGTCATCAATATGCGGGGGTTGGGGAGGAAGTTACATCTATAACTTTAGTGTGTTTGTATATTGAGTTTTCTTGACTATCGAGACACTTGTTATTTCAAATCCCTTTACAGTGTTGATTGGAGCTCTAACCCATACCACAGGTGTCCAGTTAATACGTTGATATCGTTTCGTGCTATGATAGAGGATGTCCTGGTTCCTATCCTCAGTGGGTGCTTTTTGAATATGGGTTATCAAAAGAACCCCGGATCCCCTTAAAAAGGCAACTCTGACC